TAACTCGATTAATTTTCTTTAAAGAAAATTACGACGAATTGGGGCAGGTAAAACCCCTTTAGCCTCGTGTCAACTCATTTGAAAAGCAATTCAAGACCCAGAATATCACCAATTGTAATTTCGAGTGGTTCGTTTTTTCTTTTTCTTTCCCAACACAAATGTTTGTTTGCCTGACTCGGAATTTTTGTGTTGGCACGTTTTTTGAAATTAGACTGTACTCACTCAAATTCCATTTCTAGATTTTTTCAGGTTTTGATACGGTTTTTTTTCGTGTCTGATAATAGTTGGTTCAAGTTCTTTGTGTTTCATATAAATTTAACGTTATTGCATTGTATTCGAAAATGTTGGGAAGATATATTCTTGTCTCTGGAGCCGTTTTTTAAATGTCTGAAATATTGCGGATTTTCTGGAGAATAAACTTCTGGCGTTGAGAAATATTAATAGAAATATGCGTTATTTACTTTCAGTCCCAAAAGACGTTTTTGACGAATTGTATATCGCTTATTTGTAAATTTTTACTGCAGGCCTTACTTTTTCATGCGGTACTTCATGTTCGGCGTTCTATGAATATTTATCTTGTGAATATTTTCTCAAAGTATTTCATTGGAAAGTTTGAGGCGAACCAGATTTTGAAGACGTGAGAAACTCTTTATTTTTTAAAAGCTTGCGGTGTAAAGAAAAATGACAATGCGTGTAATGGAATTTTGAATGAACGCTGGTCTTGTGTCAAAAAAAAATTTTTTTTTCTCCTTCGTAGAACTTCTTGAGTTCCCACGAGAGCCAGAAATCGGAATGCGAACCCAATTCTTCATGGGGCTCTCATGTTGGGCGTGTGCCTTGTGTGTGTGTGTGAGTGTGTATCTGTGTGTAAGATGGGTGCCCTGAGGGCATGGACGCCAGAGTGTGTTCATGTGTGTGTGTGTGTGTGTGTGAGATGGGAAGAAGCTCTGGAGTGTGTGTGAATTTCTCTTCTTCATGCGAGTCTCGGAGAATATTATGGGGAAGAGGGGGGGGGAGATGGATTCCTGAGGTGTTCTTTTCTCAACTCCCAGTGTTGCCAGGTTGGTGGGAAATTTATTTGTCATTTCAAATCTGCAGTGGACACTCGAAAGTGCTGGTTTTGAATGGGTGGAAACTTGTTGATGGGTTTTGCAGTCCTCTGTGGTCTCTTGTGCTGATTATTATTTTTGCAAGCTGTTGCAGGAATTTTGATGTTTTTCAAGAACAACTTTGGAAATTTTATCAGGTTCCTATGGTTTAAATGTTTGCAGAATGATCCCTCACCCAAAGTGATGAGTGGGTTTTATCAGCCCTCTGCTTTCCCTAGTTCAAGTTGTTGACATTCCATTGAGGAAAATGTGATGGTTTTTCCAATTTTTGACCAAAAATGTTAACTTAATTGAATGGTACAGTACTAGTTGAAAGTGCACTCTTATTTTTGAGGAAGTGGGGTTTGTGTATTGTATTCGCAGGCTTCATGAATTTGAAGGCAATGTACTTTTTATGCCAAATATTTGACATGAATACAATTTCAAGATTTTATGGATAGTTTTTGTAAATTATTTTGAATGTCAAGTTTGCTAGGAAGATTGAATGAAGTGAGAGACAGCTTACCCTGGCAATCAATGTACAGGTAGACTGACTGCCATGATTTTCCCTGTGCAACACATGTTTTGGTGGTTCCAAGTGAGTTCTCTGCTGCAAAATAACTTCTTCAAATCTTTTTTTGGGTCCAATATTGTACCAGAAAAGTCCTTTGAAAATGAACAAAGGTTTGCATTGAATCTTTTATTCATTACACTGCGCTTTTCAGTATCAGACTCAAAGTGAAATAATTACTTTTGTGCATTCTGGTTCAAAAAAGTCGAATTCCAATTTTAAGTCAACTGTTTCAAGAATACTGTACCAAACTTTTCAAAGTGACCAGTTTGTGGGTTGTTGGGGCGGAGTTTCAGAAATGGACATGTATGGACGACTTATAGGGTTAGTTCCAGGTGAGTCGACCCGACGTCTTCATGTCGACTACGGGTCCCTTCCAATAACGTCTAAATAGGGTCGGTTTTTCGCATGGCCAAGGGTACTTCATGTCTGGGAAAAGAAAGAGGGAGAGAGAGGAAAGACAGAGAAGCAAGCCATCCTTCTCTTCTGTCTTCCTTTTTTGCTATATACACTACATTATCTTCGCCCCTCAGCCACCGCGTGGATGTGCATGTACTGTACCCCAGAGGCGCGTTGAAACCGGCAACGCTGGTGTAATACCGTACCACGCGGAGCATAAGGAGGGATAGAGAGAGAGGGAGGTCCTTAACGTACACACAAGCGTGGGGGATGGAGGGAGTGCTACTTACCATAAACCCCAGGTGGAAGCGGTTATTTTTAGTGCGGCCTTTTTCTTCTTCTTGCTGTATACAGTACGATACAGTACTTTTGGACACCGCATATGCATCAACTGACTCACGCTGCCCTATTTTATATTCGATTTCGGCAATTTGAGACTACTTAGGCGTCTATCAAGAGCAATTTGTTGATTTTTTTCTTCCTGGAAATAATGGTTATCGTGAATTTGCTGTGTCTTTCTACCTTTGACCCGACATTTTGGTAACTGTATCTCTTGAGTTATTGGTGATTATGAATGCACGGGATTATTTTCGTGTTTTACACGAAGTTCTCCAGTTTGAATTTTAAGAAAATCTCTCTAATAATCTCGCGAGAAATCTGAAAATAGGTTAAACTTATGCTGGATCAGGTACAGTACTGTTTATGTTAACCGCTTATCTCTTGACATTATTTGCCATGATGCACGAGCGAGTTTATCTTTTAAACGGTGTGAAGTTTAGTTGCTCCTACGTTGTCTAAAACTGAAACTCAACTGTTGCATAAAATATTTCATCTTTCGTTTCACGAGTCAGTTGTTCATCTTTCTTCTCTTGGTATAGCCGGCATACTTTTATTCCGTTTCTATCTTACTTTTGGTTGTTTTTGCATTCGGAAACAATTCCTTTCTCTCTCGTAAAGCACTTGGATATTTGTAGGTATACAATAGTATCCTCAAGGACTCAAGCGAGTTCTTTTTTGCATTTCGCTGCCCTGATCTCCAGAAAACAGGAACTGGAGTCTGGTAACTCCCTCGTGTGAGCGATTGCTATACTGTAGTTCAGTGGATAGGGAGATGACACGTTGTTTCGAGCCTCAGGAACCGTCCGGACAGGAGTGGGGTGGAGGAAGTAGAGAATAAATGGATGGATGGATGGAGGGAGGGGAACAAGGAAATTATTATGCATGCGTAAGTATAAGAGTGTGTTTTGTGTGTGTGTACGTACGTATACATTCGTATGAGGAAGAGAGAGGGCGAGTGAGATAGAGAAAAAAGAGAGCGGAAAGAGGGAGGATGAGAAGGAAGGGAGGACAGAGAAGAAGAAGAAGGGGGGGGGGGAAGTTCGCGGGTCGCGCGCGATGTGGTTATGGGGGGGAAAGGGAGGGGGAAGTTGGATGGCGTGCTGTTGGTCATGTGCGCGCGTCCGGGGGAGAACCCTCCCCTCCCCCATCTTTGTGTGTGTGTGGGTTGTGCACATGCCGCGAAAACCTTCCGCCCCCTTGTGGTGAAACTTGGTGCATTCATTTACGAGTTATTATTATTGTCGTCGACGACGATTACTGCATGGAGGGGGGAGGGAAATACGAGCGAAATAAATAAATGATCACTGCATGCGGGGGTTTATTTGGAATCTTCATCGCGTGTTTTAGACTGCTTAGCTTGCCTTTTTTTTGTGTGTTTGTTGCGTTTCGTTAATGTAATCTTTGCTGCCGAAGCTTGTTCAGTTTACTTCCGCGTGGATCGCGCGCCATTGTTATCATGTGGGGAGCTCAGTGAGATAGGGGATTTTTTCATTCTTCTTTGACAACGTGCGCTCCTATTTAACGACTTTCCCAGACCCAAGAACAAGGCTTGTCGAGACAACGACCTGTCAAAAAAGGGGAAGGAGAATACGTGATTCACATAAAAAGGCACGAACACGTCGTTAAAAAGGTGAGTCGTTATTCGGTTGGATAATATGAATTTGTTAGGCAGTGAAATCTCGTTACAACGAAGCCATTGGGACATGTAAAATTCCTGTAGTTTCCTTATGAAAAAATTTGTTACAAGCGAACTCAACATGACAGGGACCTGAAAAAAAACAAATCTATTGTGATCCATTAATAATGTGATTTATGACGTGTTATAACGTGATTTTACTGTTGTACATTAGAATCTTGTGTGTGCAAATAATAGCTTCCATCGAAATCGTATTCCAGGCCCCTGCTCATTTGCCACGGTGTGAAATGAGTTGCATTAAATTGCTCTACGAATTTTTCGTTGTAACGAGCTTTTACTGTACCTGTACAAGAATGATTTTTTTCTGCCTTGAATTTTGAGTTTTTTGTTGTCCCCGCCCCAGAGAAAGGTAGCAGGGGTTTTCTTTCTTGTGAACATGGACAGACATTACTGTATTTGTTTTGTCATGAAGATGCACTACATTTTTTTTTCAACTTAAAGGTCTCGAGGTTGTCTTATGTTGTCGGTGTCTCGTGTTTTTGTGCTTCGTTTTCATGGTCGTTTGGAATTCAATATCAGTTGAAAATGAATTATGTACATTTATTTAAAGATTATTTAGTAAAATTCCGGTACTACGAATCGTGTCATAACTGACATTTTGTTGAAACGATTTTTTCCTTGGTCCCAGTAGTTTCTCCCCTAGGCGCAATGTACAGTATAAAAATCTCCTTTTAACGAATTCATTTTGGGCTGTCACCTTAGTGCAGTATTGTACAGTATAACGAATTTTTGGTCCTAATTCTGTGCATAGGCCATATGGATTAATTCATAAATGGCAGAAAAGCAGAAGAAAAAAGAAATTGTTCAGCTTTTCAACCACAGCAAAGAAGCAAAACTGTGTAGTGCTAAAAATTCATTTCAACAGGATTCAACATTACAGTATTTTTTGTTTTGTTTCGTATTGCAGGAGCATCAAGGCCTTTTTTCAGGCCCTGTACGTGGACCCGGCGTTTTCGCGGGCCAACGAGATCCACCTGCGCCTCGGGCTGATTTTCAAGCAAAACAAGGACTTCGTCGCCGCCCTCAAGCACTTTAATTGCGCCCTCAACGACCAGGCCGAGTGTTCCAAGTCCAAGTTGCAGATCCGGTTCTACGTGGCCCATTTGCACGAGAGCCAGGGCAAGTACAAGACGGCCAAGGAATTGTATTTGCGACTGGCGGCGGACCCGGCGTTGCCCGTCGACGTCAAGGCGGACACGTTTCGCCAATTGGGATGGATGCATCATACGGTTGACGCCTTGGGAGAGAAGCGGGAGCGGGACGAGGCGGCTGTCAATTATTTGCAATTGGCGGTGGACGCGGAGCCGAGGAACGGACAGACGCTGTATTTGTTGGGACGGTGTTATTCGGCCATGGGTCGAGTGCACGAGGCCTTTACGGCCTACAGGAAATCAGTACGTTGTTTGTTTGTTTTTGTTTTTGTTGTTTTCAAAATGACGCGTGCGTGGGTATTTTTCAAACTTAAAATTGCTCGAGAGACTGGATGGAGTATGCAAGAATTATATACAGTGAGACCTTCACATGCGGACACCTCGACCTGTGGACAATTCGACATAGGGACACTTATTTTCTCTTGAAAAATTGATAAAAAAGGCCCAACATGAGGACACTGACTCGACATGTAGGGACATTTTGTTATAAAATTGCAAATAAATTTTAGGCCAAATTACGAGAAAGATATTTCCAACGCTAAAATTGATGGTAAGAAAAGTTCTTGAGCATTTATCTCACCAATTTACCATCCATTTAGCTAATTAAAAAAATGCCTCTAGCAGAGAGGGACTTCCTTCTCTCCTTTTCACCTGAATATTATTTTTACAGCCAATATTTCTATGTACTGTACAGAGGTATCAGTATTCAATTCCCTAAATGCCCATATTTGTGTTGAAATATATTGATTAGAATCAGTTTAAATTGGGAGACAATTTTTATTTTCATGGAATAATGGTATTTCGTACATGAAACACCAATTAAAAATTATATTATGTAAGTCTAAGGGAAAATGAGACTTGACTTGAGGACATTTTTACTTGGGTGCACTCTTGATGCATCAATTGAGTCCGCATCTCGGAGTCTCACTGTACTGTATTGCTGTATCCCACGCTAGAAAATTTATAATTCAATTTATTTTCAAGTATGACGTGGGCATTTTAAATTTAAAATTGCTGGAAATTGGAAGAAGGAAGGATGAAGAATTTTGTATTTTATTTACTCAAGTACTACACGCCATAAAATGTATAATTCAATTTATTTTCAAAAATGACGTGGGGATTTTAAAAATTAGAAATTGCCCAGAAGGCTGGAAATTGGAAGAAGGGAGGATGAAGAATTTCATGTTTCCGTTTTTACGCGAGTACCACGCACCCAAATTTTTCTGCCTGAAATTTTGCATCCCAGGGTAAGACATGTACCTAATGTTACTCAACTGAAAATTTAAATACTGTTTAGTTTCTCAAAATGGAATGAATGAAAATTCAAGTTATGATGAATTTTAGTTGAATGTTAATTTTAACCATTTTTTTTTTTTTTTCAATTGTCTATAGCTTAAAATAAAATGAAAAATTTTATACCTGCCCATGACTCGCACCCTCTTTTTCTTTTTAATATGGAAAAAAGGTTACTCAAGTAAATGCGGTACGTTAAAATACGGTGACGTATTTATTTGTGTAACATGCTTTCTCATGTAAGACGTGCAGACTATTTTTCTGTGAAGCGAAAATTTTTCAAGGAAAGAACGGTAAAATACGACGTGTAAACTAAGTAAAGTTTAAATCCCATTGTGCAGCATTTATTTGTGTTCCACATTTTTTCATCTTCCTGTTTGAATTGAGCCCAAGTGTATAATTTCACTCATTCTAGTCTCTAATAATGTTTACGTACTTTGAATTCCATTGGGCGCGCCCAAAATAAAATTCGAAAAAAGGTTTCCTGAGTATGACGCGCACCCCAATTTTTCAGGTTAATTTTTTTTTTTTTTTGCTTAAAAGCGAGGATAAATTGCTGAAAGGGTCTGGGTTCTTGTTCCGAACAGCTCTGTTGCTGGACAGTTTTTTCCCCTTCCTCTTATGCACTAAGTGTATTTTTCCGTGCTTGTGCAGCAATTTTTCCACTCATGTGATTGGTGGGATAATATTAATTTGTTGGACAGTGAAATCTCGTTACAACGAAGCCATTGGGACATGTAAAATTCCTGTAGTTTCCTTATGAAAAAATTTGTTGCAAGCGAACTCAACATGACAGGGACCTGAAAAAAACAAATCTATTGTGATCCATTATTAACGTGACTGATGACGTGTTATAATGTGATTCTATTGTTGCACATTAGAATCTCGTGCGAGCAAATAATCGCTTACATATTCAGGCCCCTGCTCAATAGCCACGGTGTGAAATGAGTTGCATTAAATTGCTCTACGAATTTTTCGTTGTAACGAGCTTTTACTGTACCTGTACAAGAATGGTTTTTTTTCTGCCTTGAAATTTGAGTTTTTTGTTGTCCCCGCCCCAGAGAAAGGTAGCAGGGGTTTTCTTTCTTGTGAACATGGACAGACATTACTGTACTGTACTTCACTTGTTTTGTCATGAAGATGTACTAAAAAATTTTTTTTCAACTTAAAGGTCTCGAGTTTGTTTTATGTTGTCGATGTCTCGTGTTTTTGTGCTTCGTTTTGGAATTCAATCTTAGTTGAAAATTAATTTTGTACATTTATTTAATGATTATTTAGTAAAATTCCGGTACTACGAATTGTGTCATAACTGACATTTTGTTGAAACGATTTTTCCCTTGGTCCCAGTAGTTTCTCCCCTAGGCGCCATGTATAAAAATCTCCTTTTAACGAATTCATTTTGGGCTGTCACCTTAGTGCAGTATTGTACAGTATAACGAATTTTTGGTCCTAATTCTGTGCATAGGCCATGTGGATTAATTCATGAATGGCAGAAAAGCAGAAGAAAAAAGAAATTGTTCAGCTTTTCAACCACAGCAAAGAAGCAAAACTGTGTAGTGCTAAAAATTCATTTCAACAGGATTCAACATTACAGTATTTTTTGTTTTGTTTCGTATTGCAGGAGCATCAAGGCCTTTTTTCAGGCCCTGTACGTGGACCCGGCGTTTTCGCGGGCCAACGAGATCCACCTGCGCCTCGGGCTGATTTTCAAGCAAAACAAGGACTTCGTCGCCGCCCTCAAGCACTTTAATTGCGCCCTCAACGACCAGGCCGAGTGTTCCAAGTCCAAGTTGCAGATCCGGTTCTACGTGGCCCATTTGCACGAGAGCCAGGGCAAGTACAAGACGGCCAAGGAATTGTATTTGCGACTGGCGGCGGACCCGGCGTTGCCCGTCGACGTCAAGGCGGACACGTTTCGCCAATTGGGATGGATGCATCATACGGTTGACGCGTTGGGAGAGAAGCGGGAGCGGGACGAGGCGGCTGTCAATTATTTGCAATTGGCGGTGGACGCGGAGCCGAGGAACGGACAGACGCTGTATTTGTTGGGACGGTGTTATTCGGCCATGGGTCGAGTGCACGAGGCCTTTACGGCCTACAGGAAATCAGTACGTTGTTTGTTTGTTTGTTTTTGTTGTTTTCAAAATGACGCGTGCGTGGGTATATTTTTCAAACTTAAAATTGCTCGAGAGACTGGATGGAGTATGCAAGAATTATATACAGTGAGACCTTCACATGCGGACACCTCGACCTGTGGACAATTCGACATAGGGACACTTATTTTTCTCTTGAAAAATTGATAAAAAAGGCCCAACATGAGGACACTGACTCGACATAGGGACATTTTGTTATAAAATTGCAAATAAATTTTAGGCCAAATTACAAGAAGCAGATATTTCCAACCCTAAAATTGATAGTAAGAAAAGTTCTTGGGCATTTATCTCACCAATTTACCATCCATTTAGTTAATCTAAAAAAAAACGTCCAGCAGAGAGGGACTTCCTTCTCTCTTTTTCACTTGAATATTATTTTTACAGCCAATATTTCTATGTACTGTACAAAGGTATCAGTATTCAATTCCCAAAATGCCCATATTTTTGTTGAAATATGATGATTGGAATCAGTTTAAATTGGAGGCAATTTTTATTTTCATGGAATTATGGTATTTTGTACATAAAACACCAATTAACAATTATATAATGTAAGTCTAAGGGAAAATGAGACTCAACTTAAGGACATTTTTACTTGGGGACACTCTTGATGCATCAATCATGTCTGCATCTTGGGGTCTCACTGTACTGTATTGCTTGTATCCCACTCTAGAAAATTTAGAATTCAATTTATTTTCAAGTATGACGTGGGCATTTTTAATTTAAAATGGCTGGAAATTGGAAGAAGGAAGGATGAAGAATTTTCTATCAATTTTATTTACTCAAGTACTACATGCCATAAAATGTATAATTTAATTTCTTTTCAAAAATGACGTGGAGATTTCAAAAATTAGAAATTGCCCAGAAGGCTGGAAATTGGAAGAAGGGAGGATGAAGAATTTCATGTTTCCGTTTTTACACGAGTACCACGCACCCAAATTTTTCTGCCTGAAATTTTGCATCCCAGGGTAAGACATGTACCTAATGTTACTCAACTGAAAATTTAAATACTGTTCAGTATCTCAAAATGGAATGAATGAAAATTTAAGTTATGATGAATTTTAGGTGAATGTTGATTTTATCATTTCTGTTTTTTTTTCAATTGTCTATAGCTTAAAATAAAATGAAAAATTTTATACCTGCCCATGACTCGCACATGACCCTCTTTTTCTTTTTAATTTGGAAAAAAGGTGTGCATGTAACTCAAGTAAATGCGGTATATTATAATACAGTGACGTATTTATTTGTGTAACATGCTTTCTCATGTAAGACGTGCAGCCTATTTTTCTGTGAAGCGAAATTTTTTTAAGGAAAGAACGGTAAAATACGACGTGTAGACTAAGTAAAGTTTAAATACCATTGTGCAGCATTTATTTGTGTTCCACATTTCTTCATCTTCCTGTTTGAATTGAGCCCAAGTGTATAATTTCACTCATTCTAGTCTCTAATAATGTTTACATATTTTGAATTCCATTGGGCGCGCCCAAAATAAAATTCGAAAAAAGGTTTCCTGAGTATGACGCGCACCCCAATTTTTCAGGTGACTTTTTTTTTTTTTTTTATTTGAATTCCATTGGGCGCGCCCAAAATAAAATTCGAAAAAAGGTTTCCTGAGTATGACGCGCACCCCAATTTTTCAGGTTAATTTTTTTTTTTTTTTAGCTTAAAGGGTGCCGGTGGTACTTGAATAAATACGGCACAAAGAATTATTCCGTTGATTTTGGAACTTTTACTTTCAAATACAGTTATGTACATAAAATGTGCGATTTTTTCAATGAGAATTGAATTCCTCGCTTTGATGGGTTTGCATTTCAACCTGGGTTCAGCTAAAATTTGGGCAATGTTCCCGAAATGATCGAAGTGTTGCTTTGAATTGTACCAACTCTGGGCCATCACAATCAATCGAATCCGAAGATTGTCAAGTATCAATACTTCTGCGAAATTTGAGGTTGTTGCTTCAGCGTAATTTTCGAACCAGTCAAATTTTGCAACGCATCGCGATGGAACACGTACTTATGGAATTATTCCATCCTTTGAAAACTCAATATCATCAATACCGTAACACGACAATACTGTAGTGTGATACAGTACATCTGCTTTTTGTCGGACAATTGAGATCTTTGGCCCTGGAAATTATGAAGTTGGATTGTGCGAAGAAACACGACCAGGGATGTGTTATGTGACAGAGATGCGCAACAATTCCCACTCACCTGCAATTCTCGAATATTTGGGATTAATTTTTGAATGCTGTTTTTTTTCATGACAAAATTAATACCGTATGTAATTAAACAGCCAATTGGGTGAATGTAACAATTTATTGTGTGTTTGAAGAACATTTAGGAAATTTCCGAAATCAACTTCAACCTCGCGTCATATTCAATCACGAAAAGAGCTGAAATCGTCAGGGTGTAGCTAGAAAATACTGTGTGCGGAGTTTTGAGGTTGTTGGGTGTTCACATTTCTGAAGTGAAGTGAGATTTTCCTAGAATCAGCGTTTTGTTTGACTAAAATGTCGATTCTTGGAGTTCTCTGTGACAAAATTCTACTCAATTGAACGAGAGTCAATTTTGGATAATTCGAAATATGCTTCGAATGTGACATCGAATTTTTCATTTTTCTTCGCAGGTCGACTGCTCCGAAGCATCAGCCGATACGTGGTGCTCAATCGGGCTGCTGTACCAGCAGCAAAACCAACACGTGGACGCCATGCAGGCCTACATCTGCGCCGCTCAGCTGGACAAGACCCATTACCCGGCCTGGACGAACCTAGGAATCCTGTACGAAAGCGTGAACCAGCCCCAAGACGCCCTCGCCGCCTATGTCCACGCTCTGGAAGCGGAACGGCGCCGAAAGGGACTCGCCGGGGACGCCACTGGGGTGAATCCGAACCTCGAGAGCCGGGTTCAGTTTCTGAGGAACCAATTGTGTAATGCTCCGCCGCCAACGACGCCACCAAAGCCGAGGACACTTAGAACTCTGGAAGAGGCCTGGAACAAGCAGGTGTCGGCAGAGTTGAGCAATAAGCTGTTGCAGCAGCAGCAAAAGTGGCAAAAGGGCGGCGTCACTCCTGGTATCGGCGGCGGCGTCGGTGGTGGTGTTGGTGGCGATGATGATGGTCCGACGGCGGCGAAGCGATCGAGGCCGGATGCTGTGGTTGCGGCGCCGGGGGCGGCGTCTGCAGCGTCAATGACTCCTGCAGAGCCGCCGACGTCGTCGTTGCATTCCCGAGTGCAGTCTCTGGCGCCGCCGTTTTATCTCACGCAGCAACAGATGTCGCATTTGCAGTATTTGCAACAGAATCAGGCGCACTTGAACCCGCAGCAATTGCAGTTGTTGAGTCAATTGCAGAACCAGCATCGAATGATGCAGCAACATCAACATCAGTTGAGGCAACAACATCTCCAGCAGCAGCAGCAACAACAACAGCAGCAGCAGCAGCAACAGCAACAACAGCAGCAGCATCAACAACAGCACCAGCAGCAACAACAACAAGCAAGGTGAGAATTTTTGTGTGAAGATATGTTTGTTCAAGGTATGTTGCGTTTTGTTTGATAGAAAATTATTTTGTCAGAACCTTTGATGACTGTTGACAATTTGCAAAGACAAACGCAGTTCTTCTACAACGTGTATGCATTGTGTGTCCAAAATGTTCCTATGCATTGAAATAGTCAGCATTAGTTGGGCGTTTCCTATTTTCATTCACATTTTCATTTGAGCTTGTGAAGGAAGTTTGAGAAGAACTGTTTGAATCGGGGGGCAAGGAGGATGAAAAATCATTCATGTTCTGTTGTTTTAAAGAGTAGAAATGCCACATTGAATTCTAGAAGTCATGATGAGCTAAAGTAAGAATTCTCATGTATAAACCAATTTTTCACTAGAGAATCTCGTTACAACGAAGCTGTTGGACCAGGAAAAAAATCTTCATTATACAGTAGCTCTAAATTCCTTATAATTTAATTTGAATAACATTATTGCCGTGGAGCCGGGACCTGAAAAATCGTTGTACAGTACTTGTAACGAGATTCTGCTGTACATTATTTATTCCTTGGAAACTTGGTCTTCTGATTCTTTCTAATTTTCCGACGTGCTCATTTGTCCAATCCTTTTTTTCAAGACTGCCAATTTCTTTGTGCAACTGGTGGATTGTAACCTACTGTCATGTGCCCTCAACAGGTTCCAGAACGGCTACAGCGACACCTACTACAGCAACTCAGAAACGTTCGAGTCCACAGACGTCGTAGAGTCCATCACAGATCAAGACATCCAGGCCCTTCTGTCTCAGAAGGAGCTCGCAACGTCCCTCGCCGAAGACCTCATCAAGAAGATCTCTGAGGGGCTGGCTGAAGAAGAAGCCGCTGCTGTGGAATCGTCCATCAAGCAAGAACTGCGTCAGGAGATGGACGAGACGAAACCACCCGCAGCGAGTAACGTGGAAGTGAAGGACTTGGTAGCCGGCATCAAGGGTGAAGAAGACGAAGACACGCCGGATGAAGATGAAGAGTCGAGTGACGAGAGGGTGAAGAAGGAGGCGACGACTGTGAAGAAGGAACGGGTCGTGTTGACGTTGAAGTTGGACCGGAAAAGCATCAAGAAGGAGAGTCCCGTTTTGTCTATCAACATGTCCGGGTCGGAAGTGTTGGCGTCTGCGAAACGGAAAAGCAAGAAAAAGCTCAAGAAGGGCAAAGGTAAATTGAAGAATTTTTTGTTTGTTTGCCACTGTTGATAACGTCTGTATTTGTTTCAATCGAAAAGCTGTTGACCGAGTGATGAAATGCCTAATTTGTGTTGAACCCCTACAAAAAAAAACGAGATTAATTCGCGGCTGCTTGGAATGGATTCGTTTTACTTTATTTACATCAGATTTGCATTCCATTCCGTCCTAGAATTTATTGTCGAATTTCCGACGTACAGATGAACTGAAGTCGACAGTTTCTGTTCTGGGTTTTTTTTTTTCAGTCGCAATGATAATTCTAGATTGCTTCAACTCCTGTGCCTATATTAAAACTTGTATACCATTTTTATAATTTCTACGCTTCGAAAAAAATCTGTCGATATTCGCTCCGTCCTTAAAATGGAATTTCTACGGACGCTCGGTAAATGCAATTTTTTTTTGTATTTTGTTCAAGTCCTTGTAAAAAAAAACCTTAATTCGAAGGTTTTCCCACTCAAACCTCATGAACTCCAATCTTCTGGGGTTTTTTGTCTTTGATTTTATTTGACACAGGAAAGAAAAAATAAATAAAAACTTGAGCGTTTATGAAAAAAATAATTGGGCAAATGAACCCATGCCTCCAAGTGCAGCATCCTGTCAATTTAGAAAGCAATTTAAGGTTCAGAATGATGCCAATTTTAAATTTCCTGTATTTCTTCTTTCTTTCCCCCGAAAAGAATGCTTTTTATAACTAATTAGAACCCCCCCCATCGATTTTTTTTTTTCACTTAAAAAGGTTCCCTCCCAAGATAGAGAGAGCCCGGTTGTATTTTGTGAATGTGATTCGAAGCATTTGTGTGGTTGTTGCAGGAATCAAGTACCCGAACTCCATGTCAATCCTGAGTGAACGGTGTCGTCCGCCACGGCCACCATCGCCACCAGACATGGACCTGTCGGACGCCGACTTGCTGCCACCGACGCCCTCGGTGCACATTGAAAACAAGAAACAGGCCTCGTCGCCGGCCTTGCAAGAATTCTGCCTTCGTCACCCGATCGCAGTCGTGCGCAACTTGTGCGCGACTCTCAAAATGGACCTGGGTCTCTTCTCCACCCGCTCGTTGGTGGGTGCTCATCCCGAACACACGATTGAAGTGCGGACGCAAATGTACCAGACGTCGGACGAGAACTTTGACTATCAGACGGGGAAACGGTCGTGGCGGTGTTCGAGTCATCGGGGCCACACGTCAATATCCAAGTACGCGAGTTACCAGGCCTTCAGCTTCAATGAGGCCCTGAAGGAGGACACGTTGCAGGGCCCGCCGACGAGTGCGGCCGCCGTGGGCAAGAAGGGTGGGCGGAACAACTCGCAGGGCCAGGCGTGTGCCAACACGTTGCTCAAGTGAGGAAATTTGTACTTCCGCCCCTTTTCCTTTTTGTGTGATTTTTGTTCGTTTGTTTTTGTTTAAGGAGGTATGCAGCAGTCTTCCCGAACCCGGTCCGCGGGAAATTTCTGCAGCCTGATGAATTTATAAGTTTTTCAAACTACATAATAAAAAAATCTGATAAGGCCAGAAAAGCAAGATCTAATTGATAATAAGCAGGCCTGATGTAAAAAAAAAAGTCGGCCATAAATTTTGAAAATCTCGTTATAGCAAATTATTCAGTGGAACGTTTTCTGAAGTCCCCAAAAGTTGGTTCAAACGAAATTTTACTGTGTTCTGGAATCTAAAGTGAAATGTTTTGTACATTGTTTTTTTTGGAAAAGTATTGTACATTTTTAAAATTTTTATTTTTGGAATGCAGGGGCTCAGGGCCAGGATCGAACCACAGGAAAGTCATCAAGTTCGGCACGAACCTGGATTTGAGTGACGAGAAGAAGTGGAAACCGCAGTTGACGGAGTTGATGAAGCTGCCGGCGTTTTGCCGAGTGGTTTCCGCCGGCAACATGCTGTCCCATGTCGGACACACCATTCTGGGCATGAACACTGTGCAGTTGTACATGAAAGTGCCCGGGTCTCGAACCCCCGGGCACCAGGAAAACAACAACTTTTGCTCAATCAACATCAATATCGGTCCTGGGGACTGTGAGTGGTTCGGTGTACCTGAAGCCTACTGGGGAGCGTTGGCCAAAATTTGTGAAGAGTGAGTACGGTAGATTTTTTCCCTCTTCTTTTTCAGTTTTAAGATGAATTGCATCTGATTTTGAAGGCTAAAAACAAATTTGCAGGATTGTGAATGTTAGAAGGAATTGCGAGATGTTGTAAGGAAACCTCAATTTATGTTTGAAAGTTGATGGGTTGGTGTATTAAGAACCATTTTGACCAGGGTTCTCTAACCTGCTCCGTGTGCTTGGAGGACGAGCTGAAATTGGACCGGAAAGCAGTTGAATTCAACCACAAACCCAATTATCTTTTTTTTTTTTTTTTAACAAAAGATTATTACTGAAGTTGGAAACCAGTCGTAGCCACGTGGAATTGGGACTGTTTTTGGTCAAACCCCTTGCAAGAAATTGATACATTTGTTCTTTCTATTTTGACGCGTCTGATTCAGTGCGTTTAAACTCGTAAGATTATTTTATCATTCTGAATGAAATGTTGCAAAGTTGATTTAAGTTCAGTTATTTCCTACGTTTCCATTTTATTTATGCGTCATGGGACTTTTTGGGGCTCCAGAACGAATATCTGATTCTGTGTAGCTTTACATTTCACTCGTGTTTTTGGCGTTTCGGATAATGGACTCCCGAATGTAATTTAGTGTTCATTAACCGATACGCAGCTGTTTGTCGCGAGTTCATTTCGGATGATACACGTCGTGGAATACTGGAATGTTCCTCCCCCATTTTACTGGCTAGCTGAAAACCCCGAAATGTTGTAGCGTCAAGAACACGTGGCTTACAGAAATGGTTGTACAGTACTGTACTGTGCTTGAAAACCCGCTCCGTGTGGTATTTTTCTTATTCATTTATCGATGTCTGTGTCCTTCAAAGCGCGTGTAATCGGATCTGGCTTTTTTTCGTGTAGACGCAACGATCGGGTTATCTGATAGCGGTTCAGCATTTTTTAAAGCTGGGGTCTTTTGAATCTTATCGAAGGTGATAGATAATCAAACCGGTTCGTCATCGTTGTAAATACAGTATTAACTGGAATCGAACAAGCGTTTTCGGAATTGACGGGCGAGTTATTAATTTTTTAAATGTACTGTATTGTTGTGCTGTATCCGGTTTTTTTATTGTTCCGATCAAGTTCAGCAGAAACGTGGTACATTTTCGACGAAGGATTAATTTTTAGTCACGGTTATGTCGTTGGAGAGCCGAGATCGAAAGCCTTGGTCTAAAACACTTAGTGCTAATAACGTAATTTTTTGGCGTATTGACATTTCCTTGTTGTGCCAGCGCGTCATTCTTAATCTTCGATAATTTTGGCACGATACAGTATAATCAAAGTTGATAAAAAGTAGCTTTGCAAGAGTTTCATTTGATTATTGGTGAATGAATGATTTTAGTTGAGTAATATTTCATGATCCCTTTGCCACTTCTTTCCGATTCATGCGTTTTTGTTATTTTATTCAGAGAAGACTGCGTTAGAGTGCTCTTCGTCGCTGTCGAGGAATTTGAATTCACCTGCCACGTCAGCACATTTTATGAATTTGAGCGCTTTCCGAGTACTGCCAAATACCTGTGTTTGAGATTTTGCAGATGTATTCCAGGGGTCAATATTCCTCATATTGTACGGTATTGTACAAATGGGTGCAGTTGGAAAATCAGCTTAGATTTTGGCGATTAATGCGATTGTGAATCGGCATTTTAAAAATGTAAATTGACGAGGAATGTGTGTTTTGTCGTTTCTTTGATGGGAGAATGAAATTGTGAAAGACCAGGGAGTATGTTTTCTCGAAAATTTGGATGCCGAAAGAACTCAATTTTTCCTTGCAATACTCACCGTATTATTCGAGGATCATTTGTATCAAGCTTCGGATACTCGCTCGTGATTGTTTTTGTTCGTTTTCATAAACGCTCTTCGGATGTGTACCTATTTTTTTATTTTTCAACATTACAGTAGCGGAGTTTCGTACCTGAGCGGATCCTGGTGGCCATTGATGGAGGACCTGGCGAAGGCAAAAATCCCTGTGTACAAATTCCTTCAGAAACCCGGCGAGTTGGTGTGGGTGAACGCGGGTTGCATCCACTGGGTCCAGTCCAAGGGCTGGTGCAACAACATCGCCTGGAACGTGGGTCCCTTGACTGCGAAGCAATACCAACTCGCCGTTGAACGCTACGAGTTCAACAAGCTCAAGCAGTACAAGTCCATCGTTCCGATGATGCATCTCTCGTGGAACCTTGCCAGGAACATCAAGGTCTCCGACATTGGTCTCTATGAACAGATCAAGTGAGTTTTTTTTCCTGTGTACGTTGTGCTAGGAGCAAGTGTTTTCTTCTTGAGAGGATTCAGCGATGCACGAGTGACATCTGGGAGATGAATCATTGTCTCTTCCGAAATTTATGCGCCACATACGATGCATAGATGTCACTCACGTGTCGGGGGGTCCTCGATAGAAGAACGCTTATGAACATGATGTCATGCTAAAAATTCCAATAGATCCTTCCGAGTACTACGTGAGAGATCGCAATACAAGCTCTGATTGTCGTTAGATATGATGACACGTTGTTGTTAGTTGAACACGGTTGACTGATGAGGTTTTTCTTTCCCTTCTTTTCAGGTATTGTTTGCTGCGAACTTTGAGGCACTGTCAAATGGTTCTCGAGTATTTGTACGACTTGGGAGTCGAGGTGAGGTTTCGGGGTCGAGGCAAGAACGAGGTGACGCACTACTGCAACCAATGCGAGGTAACTTGAAAGTCTTGTCTGATTTTTTTTTCGTTTTAGACGCATTTTTTGAAGGAGGGAAATATCTGTCATGATTGGTTTCGACGTTGCTTGTGAATATGGGAATTGAAAAAGGTTACTTGAATATCATGATATATGTTCTGATGTAGAGTTCCGCGCTCCACCTGGTGGCAAGTGCTCAAAGCCACCAGTGTTTTGCTTCTCGTATATAAATGAGGTTAAATCTTCGAAACCAAGTTTTCCTCATTCATGTTTTGATTTTTTTTTCTCAGTTGGAGGTGTTCTGCCTGCTGCTGGTGAAGGAGGAGGAGAAGAAGCACGTGGTCTACTGTTTGGATTGTGCTCGGAGACAGTGTGGGCAGTTGAACGGGTTCGTCGGGTTACTGGAGTACCACATGGATGATCTCGTGAAGATTTACGACGACTTCAAACCGCCGCCTGCCGTAAGTTCTGGCATGTAAAAAGACGAAGGTTTGGGGAAATCTCGGGCGTGTGTAGTTTTAAACTCGTTACTGAAGTCTTGAACCCGTTCGAGGTGGATTAACTCGGTCGTGTGCATCTGTTAATAGACTTTATTCGGTTTAGAGGAATTTAATTTTCTTAGAAGGCGCTTCGTTATGAGTTTAAATTTCAGATATTCGTCGATCGGATAATCTGAAGCTATGTGCGTCTTCAAATTAATGAAAATGTTCTTTTCGAATTCTTGAATGCTGGAGTGAATCAAAAATATGTCGAATGCCGAAAAACTGCAAAATATAGAAGATTAGGATGCAGTGCTCAACTCGATGAAGAATATACATGGAGCAATATCAGAAAAATGAAAATATTTATTTACTCGTTCCACTGAATTGAGCACAATTCAGAGTAAACATTTTTATACAGTATTTTGCGAAAGATGATGAGCTTCATTTTTTGGTATGTCACTTACACGTTTTTATAGTTTATTCCGGATATGAAAACGTCAGTGCCAGTAATTCAAAAAGAGAGACGAGATTTCGGGGCTGAAAAATGAAAATAGAACTGCAAAGCAATTCTGAGATTCTTTTGATGGAATTTTTAAAATAAACCTTCGGTCTGTGGGGAAAATCTGATGAGTTGGAAGAGTTATTCAAGCTGAAATTAATGCAATTTTTGTTCCCGCTTAAACGACAATCAGATTTTGTTGTTGTGGAAATTTGATGGATTTTTTTTTTTTTTAATTCCAGATTGGAAGTGCACCAGTGCCTGTGCACATTACATGACGACGAAGTGGTTGAGGCTGGCATCGAGTGTCCGTCCTCAGGCAGCTTAGAAGTAAAGAAAAAAAGTGTGAGAAGCGAGACTTGGACACTGCCTTGAGTCGAGCGGGTGGGCGATTTTTTTTTTTTTTTACTTCTCCTAAGGAAACTCCAGGGAACCTGTGACGAGTATTTTGTGTGTGGTCACTTTTACGAGAGGTAGGGTGGTTTTTTTTTTCGTTTGATGTTTGTTTTTGGCCGAGACGCGGTATATTTTTGTAATCGTTTCGGCCGTTTTGAACGACACACTCAGGGACTCTCATCCGTCGTCGGCCTAATTTTTTTTGTGGAATATCTCTTTTTTTTTGTGTCTGAGGAAAAGGAGGTTTTTATTTAAGGGATTTTCAATCGTATTTCCCGGGGTTGTCCGGAGATTTAGGATGATCGTAGATCACGTGGGTGTCTGTCCTCCTCCTTTTTGTTTGAATTTCTTTGTTTTTTTCCCCCCGAGAGCGTGGATTTGGATTTTTGTTTTTTCTCCCCGCAATATTGTGCTTTGTACTTTTCTACTGGAAGCGAAGAGAAATTTTTCTCTTAGATACCGGAAGTTAGGACTCAATACTCGTTCAAGACACTTTATTTGATTTTTACGCCTTCGAGCTGTGCCTGTCTTTCGCGTGAGTCTGATGTGCTCTCATTTTACCTGTTGCAAGAGTATTCAATCGTTTTTTTTTTCGAAAGAGAAAACAAAAAGAAAACAAGGAATAAACACGAGGATGCATCATGTTTTTTGCGAAACAAAACTTTTTATTCCCGGTGAAATTTTGAATTGATGCGTGCGAGTGAAAATGGATTTGTGCGCGAGTGGTGCGAGTCGGTCAGTCGACTTTGACAAAGCTGTAGATTTTGTTGACGAACCAGAAGCACGCCAGGAATCCGACTGATCCTGCGGGGGAAAAGGAAGCCGACGTCAGTACTGGTTAATGTGGCTCATTTATGACGGGATTTTGCTCTTCAGGTATGTGGAGAATTTGCGTTCATCTGAGCGAGTACAAGGGGTGGTTCAAAAGTTATTTTTCAGTATTGTGTAATTGAATTATTTTGGACTTCTCGAAACCAGACCTGACGAACTGCAGTAAAATCTCGTTACAACGAACTCCCAGGGACCTAGGAAAAATTTGTTATTGCAAGATTCATGGTTCTTTGAGCATTTTTGGAAAATCGGTAATAAAGGCTTTAAAATACTTCCACAACACGTTTGTGAAGAATATCTGCATTTCCTACATCTTTTGATGAAATTATAAGAATAATCCAGAATATGAACTACAATTCTCATATTTCAGACCTATCATTTCTTATATTTTCTAGAAAAGAAATGCTGATCTTACTGAAGCATAAGTGAAAAAAGCAGAAAATATATGTAAGATGCGCTTTTATGCATTGAGAACTGTCTGATCCCTGAATTAGAGCAGCATCCTTCCAAAAATACTTTTCCTTTAGGAAATTGTAAATTTCAAATCAAAGCAGAATAAATTGTAATTAACGCTTCATACTTCCTGTAATTGAGTACTAAATTCTCTTCACAAAATGATTAGAATTTTTGAAGGTTTTTCAATCATGAACATGTTGGGGTTTTCTGTATTCTTCCAGTTGGTGAAAATGTATTTGGCCTTTGCACAAATGATAAGGCGAAATTTCCTATACTGATAATCATATTATAGAGGACAATTTATTTGTTATTTCTAAATTTTCACATTGTTCCTGAGATGAAACTCCTGGAACTAAAGTAAACTCGTTCTACCGTGATTACTGTACTTGAAACGGAATTTTAGAGTATTTTTTGGGAATTTTATTCTTATATTATCATATGCGTATGTGACAAAATCACTGTAGCATTAAATGTACGTTGTGTAAATTTATGTGACATATTTTAATATACTGTATCTGTAAACATGGAACATTGTTCGGGGATTTTGAATGAATAAGAAATATGTCTCATCTGCACTGGAAAGCACAAGCTTGACAAAACATGAGCACCAATTGTTGTGCAGTATTGTACTTGGTGAATTGTAAGTTGAAACTTCGTCTTTTGTTGATTTCTCACTTACCAGTGAGCAGGAAGCAGAGGAGAGACAATATGGTTGCGTAACCGAAGTAGAGCATCAGGGGCATGATTCCAAATCCCTCCACAGTGTAGATGTAATTGTAAATTGAATAGAGGAATATGTAAAGTGCTGTGGAGCCGGATGAAAAGAAGCTCTTCCACCACCATTCATGATCCTGAAAAAGATTCAATCTCATCATGATCACAAAATTTCGATTTTGTCTCTTGCAATGATGCATTTTTTACAATGTGGGTAGATGTCACTGCTAGACAGCGTATTTTTCCCTATCAGTTATCCAGATGCTCATTTGGGTTTCTCACAATTTATGGATCATTACTTCCTGTATAATCTTTGCATCATGTGAGGGTGGACTTCCTCTACAACAATGTTATCTGTATAACAGCATATTTTTGGTCCCATAGGGTTCTCTTCCCATGTTAGGGGTTCTTTACAAGAAGATGACTTTACCATGAATTTTTTTCAGGAAAATCAAATTTTGTTGTGAAGATAATTTTTTACAACAAAATTCTCTACTAACATTTTTTCTGGTTTTTTTTTAATTTTTTGTAATTCTCTACAATGAATTTTTTCTGGTGATTTGAATTTTTTTCCTATCTCTAGTTGACTTCTGATTCAGGTGAATTCTGGACAGTTGACATCTGGCAAAAAATGGACTTTGTCCTACACACATGAGAAAGTCTTATTGAGGATGAATTACTCTATTCTTACTTTTATCATCACTTTTGATGATTTTGCATTACCTTTACAGGGATCTACTGTTGTTGAATTTGTCATGTCACTGTCTTTGAGCAACTGTATTCATTGCGAATTTTAAAAAATGTATAATGTTATGTACAGCATGTCTTACCTCTGCACACAGCTGATAATAGCACAAGAATACAGCAATAATCGCACTTGTTGCCACAAAGAGCAGGAATGCGACAAATAGTAACCCAAACATGTGGAAAACCATGTTGGACCTGGAAAGCAAAATGAGTTTTTTTCAATTATTTCTGTTCACAACTTGGCCCCAGATAATGGACTTTTTGCTTGAAAGAAGAATTAAAACTGATAGATATTGGTAATAATCTGGACCTTGGAATTGCTTTTTAAATGAATTGGCAGGATTCTGAACTTGGAGGCAAGGGTTTATTTGCCCAACTTTTCTTTCACTTCCTTTCAAAACACATCAAGTTACATATTATTGCATTTCTTCCCTGTGTCAATGAAATCATTACAAAAAAAGCCACAGAAAATTCAAATTATGCATGTTTGAGTTAAAGATGTTCTTAATGCCATTGTTTCTAAGGGATTCAAATAATAAGAACTTCAAGAACATTTGACTGGGTGGCATTTGACTTGAGGAGGCTTGAGTTATTATGGGTCAACTTTTCCTAGTAGTCATTTTATTTAGCTTTTCCTTAACCCTGGAAATTGACATTCCTTGGTGGAATAAATAAAGTCCATTGACTGAGGCATCAAATTAATTTGACTATCATACCAGATGAAGCTGGAGATGAAGTACAGTTGAAGAGCTACACAAAGGAATGGAAGAAACCCCGCACACAGAGCCCCAGGAATCGGTCTGAGGATGAAACTAGTTTTTCCTATCATCCGTGGAACTTGGTTGACACGTGTTGGGAATTGAATCGGTGCCTGTTTGTTGACAAGTCGAAAGAGAAGAAAAATTTAGTTGGCGAATTAATTGCTTGAAAATTGTACTGTATTTATGATTTGCCTCCTTGACGAAGCCACGGTATGCTCCAGCGATGGACATTGGGCACGAAACACCGAACCAGAGAAATCCCCAGAGAAGCAGGCTTCCGAAGGATACTCTGGAAGAACTGTCGTACATGTACAGCATTGTGTTGAGGCACCACAAGATCCCAAAGATGGCCCTGTGCGAAAGAATGCGTTCGAGATGTGATGAAAAAATTGTCATTTTTTCTGCAATTTTTATGGGAGAAATATTCTGGATTTTATACACTTCAGACTTTAATAAAGGCAGAAGAATGGCTGGACTGAGGCAGAGAAGTTGAATTCTGCCACCATGGGATTTTCACATATACAAATGTTAAAGATTTTTAGATACTGTGTTCTGAAATACAGTGTGTATTTTTTACTGATTTCTTGAAGGTTGAGTCAGTTGAAGGTGCTTAAGCCCTGAACTTCCTCAAATTCGCAAATTTTTTGAGCCAAAGAAGGCAGCAATCTTACCTTTTTCATCTTTCACAATGTCTGCTGCCTTTCCTGTTGTAGTGTAGGGGAACCTCTTAAAGGTTCCTTCAAAGACCAGTGAAGGTCAATTATTCTGGTTAATCTCATGACCTTCTGGAGTGAGATGAGTTAGCTTACTCTGAACCCAAAAAGGAGTACAATAAACTTATAATCCACTTTACTCTGTATGAGAATGGAGTTTGAATTGAAAACTTGTTGAATTTAATTTATTTGTTGTCAAAACAATTCTGTATTGTGAAGCAGATCACTGTATTCCACTTTCTTCTTGTAAACATTTTATCTGCCAACTTTTTATTATGCATGGACCCACTGTATGCAGATGGACAATATCTACAATGAAATTTGAAGAACCAGAAAAAAATTGTTGTTGAGAACCCCTATATTAACATGGGGTGAGAACCCTATGTGACCAAAACATATTTTTACAGAGAAAATTGCTGAAGAGAAAGTCAACCTGCACTAAGTTTGGTTTGCATTACATTTAGACAACAAAATAACCCACCCTGGGCCAGCAGTAGCTGTGAGGACTGCCATTTGAACCCAGTACCTTCCACGGCAAGTCCTGAAGAGTCTACCAGCAACATACCCTGCAGGGGCTCCAAAGATCATGAAGACTATGATGGCCCAGTTGAGCATGCTTCCTCTTCTGTTTGGATTCACAAAGCCAAAGCAAGAAAAGCCTGAGAAATGAACATAACTTTGAGATCTATGTGTCCTCAATCAAGATGGTTAAATTTATCTTCACCAAAAGTCACTGTTGTCATGAGGAGGACTTGCAAGCCACATCCAACTGCTGCACAGAGCCACTTGGACCCTGGTGGTATCCTGAAGACATCCCCATGGATCAGCTTCCATCCACCTTCATCAATGCTGATGATGTCATCACCAAGCTTTTCTTCTTTGCCCTGCTGCTGTTTATAGAGAATGAATATGGGTCATGTGCATGTGATCATTGACATTTGGGAAGTTTCTAATCTGATTTTCCAGTGCACCGTTTTGAACTGAGTTCTTAGGCTTCTTACTCAAATTTTTTACTTCAATACCAGACTTACTGAAGTACCACACAACCTTGAGTAAGACATGGATCTTGATTTTTTAGAGGAGAATTTCTGCCATTGACAGAAATCTAAATTTGGGATAAAATGAAGTTTGTAAACCTGAAACACAGCGCAAAACATAAAGCAATCAAGTCTTTTTGTTGAGGATAAGCATATTTCTAAGTAAAAAATCTTTCTTACTTTGATTCAAGTACAGTTTTATGCAATCCAAAATAATTGATATTTGTGGATAAAATTGTCCCCAAGTTGAACAAGAGCCCAATCTTTGGTGCATGTTTTCAGCTAGAAAAAATGGTGCACATGGTAGCTAAATATGGTATTATAGGTTCCATGCTACCATGAAGGTGTGGATTTCTCAAATAATGAGAAAGCACATCATTTATATGCTTCACTTGAAATTAAATTCTTGGCCAGGATCCACAAACATAGAATTGTAACTTATCCATTTTGAACTAAACTCCCATGATGTTGAAAGCAAGGGTGCCATTTTTCTTGATACAATTTTGATTTTTTAATTCACAAGTCCTGCCTGTGTATATAGATGAGCATCAAACTTTAAACTTACAGTGTTGTAGCGCTGGATGTCTTTGCGAACAGTATTCATAAGCACAACTGCCACTATTCCTGTAAGCACCATGACAGATACCACAGTGTCCATAATAGTGAACCACTGGACATTGGCTGGACTGGTGGTGGTCAGCATGTGGTCCCACCTGGATCCCCATTCCATCTTGGCAACTGCCTTGAATTTTACAGAATAGGAAAAAGGAATTGAGAGCTCTGTGTTTGGTAGCAGAGTCATTCCTGGTACAATCATTGGACCAGCCTGTTCACTGTTGCCACAGGAAGTGTCATTCACAGTTCTCAAGAACATGTGAGCACCTAAAAAAAATTGGGGAGAGAAATCATGTAAATGATTGGAATGTTGTGACATGTTTTACCAATGATCCTGCTTCCCTTGGCCCCATGATCAGGATGCAGCACATAGTCCTCATCACTGTGGTATCTGATGACTATGTCAACATGGTTGAACAGGTAATAATTGTTAGGCAAAGTGTAAGATTTCTGCAAGATACAATGTTGGTTTAAAATAATAATTGGTCTGTGCAGAAATTATTATTTGTGTTGCTCACAGGAACACTGCACACTCCCTCTGGTTGCCCAGCTCCTCCAAGAAAGCACCCAACTGGAAATCCTGATGCACAGTGTCTCCTCCCAAAGTCTACATTCAAGCACCAGCGCACTGGCATGTTGTCTATGTCCAAATAATGTTTATCTCATTTCATTGTCAGTACTGTGAATCATACTACATGTTTCTGAATTGCTGTACATACCAATAAACCAATGCTGCACATAGTTGACATATATTGCAGTTTTGAACCTGTTCAGTTTATCATTGTCATCAAATGATGATCCATTGTACTTCTTGGTGCAGATAACTTCACAGTCTACACTTTCAAGGAATTTTATCTGGAATTATTTCATTATGCTGTTAGGATCTTGAATTTGTGCCATTAATTTGTGACTTGCCTTTATTGGTGATTTTTTGGGACGCTTTCCAAACAGCATTTGGCTGAGATTCTCATCAGCATCTGTGACTTTGTCATAATCATCTCCTTTGCAGAAGTCAAAACTGGGGAAGACAGGATTAATTTTGAACTGATGATACTGTATGCAGATCTGAGCTGAAAAAAAATTTAAGTCACTTTTTTGATAATCTTGTTACAACAAATTATCCGTTATAACAAACTTTTTCCGCAGTCCCCAAAAGTTTGTTGTAACAAGATTTTACTGTATTGTAAAATGTCATCAACAGTTTCTAGTTAATCAGTTTGTTGTTAATGAATGGCATGCAAATTTATATATCATCCATTTTGTCAAAGTAATTAACTATAATTTGATTTTTAATTACAATTTTGTGTGTGAAAAAATTGGGATTTATTCCTGATATACTCACTGGTGGTAGTTGTATTCAATGACTGACTCCAATGAGTCCAAATGGTTGATGAAGATGGGGACTTCAGACTAAAGATTTGTAAATTTCAGCATGATGCACATTAAAAATAATTTCGAATCTGCTGATTATTTGCCAACTTGAAAATGTTCATACCTTGCAGCCAGAAATGCTGTTTGCATAGTCCTCTCTGCAAAAGAAGCCTGGTGCTAGCCCTGGTAAGTAAAATGCTGAGGAAATGGGAAAGAACACAAGGATCACAGGAATCTTCCACATTTCACTACTGATTTGAGTGAATTCAGGAGGGACAAATAGCTGATGATTCTGGCTTCAAGTGCTGCTGGAGGGAAAACAAAGGCTCGTGGGAAATGAGCCCGAGGACTACGTTTTTTCCCTTCTGTATCCCGAGCGGTTTTCTGTTTTTCCCTATAACGTATGAACTTCCTTTCCTATTTTTTGGATATATTTTTGGAGAGAAAACAAACATATTTTTTCCTTTCTTTGTGGGAAATTTTGGAGAGATGCTGTGATGCTATCCAAACTCTAATAAACGAAAACAGCGTCTAAAGATGTTGCGGAGTCTTATTCTGGCAATTGACGTTCGACCATCTTGGTTTGCGAATCCAGGGATTTGAGCACTCAGAATTTTTTTGCTGAACTGGATGACAAACATTGTGCCGATGACTCTCACGATAGAGCGCACGTGGTCGAAGCGTCATGGCCGCGTGCCGTAATCATGCATGGGTCAGATGTTCGGTCGAGACTCTCGAGAGATGCTCAGGTCTATCGTACAGTATTCTAATTCCGATAGTTGTGCATTCTAACGGTTCCTACTTCCGTTTGAACCTTTCATTAATGCCGAGTAAGTTCATACAAGTCCGTGTGATTTGGGGTTGAAACGTTGTAGTGATCGGCGTTGATCTCTCGTACCTGAAATTAGTACAAATCGTTCGATCCTGTTTCAATTGTCGTGCCTTGTTCCATTTATGAAAATTCAAGGTGTGCTATTTGTAAAATAGAATGGTTGCCGAACGCAATCTTACGCCGTTAATGCAAATGCTTCGCGATCGGCTCCTCGGGGTGAGTTGTTAACTTATCTTTTATTCGTGTTTCGGAGTGTTTTGCAAGCAATTCATGTCTGATTGAATGTGCTTGTAGCGGAAGTACGTGCAAGCCCTGAGGTTTAAGCCGAAGTTGGCTCCGAGGAGCATCCCTGAACCGAATCTTCCTGGCGGTGTGTCGCATAAGCTAAGTTCGAATTATTACTACACCCGAGATGCTCGCAGGGAGGTGAAGGCGCCCTTAGTTATCGCGGACAACGTTTCAACCGTAGCTGCTATTGGAGCTGGAGATGCTCAAAAGTGAGTTCCGTCCTGATTCATAGCGATTGATTCCTTCAGCTCTCAGTGACTCCGTGTCTACTGCAGCGTACCAGTCTATATTCGCTCTTAACTTGACTTACATCACTGCTAACTGCTTTTTCGTTCTGGAGTAGTTAAGCGAGTATGTGATTTTACAAATTCTTGAACTATTCTGAATGATCTGCGGATATAAATTGTTTCATGGGATCCAATTTGTACCTATTGAAACAATTCCTCATTCTGGAAGCATTTCTAAACCCATTGCGTTTAAGATAGCTCTGTATCTTAAAAGTTAACAGTCAATCTCGTTCTGCAAAGAGTAACATATTCAAATCCTCTATCAATGCATAACATGCAGTACTTCGCGATTAAAGGCATTCCTGGCTTGTAGAAAGTTTGTTTCACTCAGGTTCCAAAATTCCGCTATAACGGATAATTAAAGTACAGTATGTTGTGTACCCTGATTAAAGTTGATTCTTCGCGGAAATTGATCGTTAAGTTCGTTTCTGAAATCACGAGCAGTCCACCTGAAAGACGTGTACATGCGTCGGGTGGTGCCCGTGAATTGTTCGTCTTATGTTTTTGTGAAACTCCATGAAAATAATTTCTGTTCGTACCACGAATTTCTTGTAGTGCGTCAAAAACTACGAGTGTTTCGAAGTCGAAGCTGGGGAAGCCTGTTTTTCCTGGCCAGCTGTACTCGGGGAAAGAAGTACCTTCAGAGCCAGCTCCCAAGACGACGTGAATATCAGTTTAGACTGAGAATTCTTCTGTGCAATCCTTTCGCGCTAGAAATTTGCTCTTGTATTTGAAGTGATCCGTGTGCGAAATTAGTACCGTGTGTATAATAAAAGAAAAGCGAAACTCCTCGTGACGAGTTCTTCTTAACTGAGCGTGTTGTCAATAGATACGGATTTTACTCCCCACGAAGTACCAACAATTGTTGAATTTGCGTCGCTGCCAAATTTTAAGCGTTTTTTAATGGAAGTTGTAGGGATCATTTTCCTATTCACAACAAGTTGAGACTTGTTAGCACTGTGTGAATGAATAACTTCATAGGTAACTCCAGGATTTCTTGGTGGGTATGGTTTACAAATTCTTTGAAGAACCGTCAATTACTTTCATCTATAGAGGACATTTCTTTGGCTTATTCTTCACCAGTCATACCATGGTTCTCAGTTATTTGAAACCAAGGATTGAAAAATTTCATACAAGCCAATTTAGGCAATTTTTTCTATCACTCATCAAATATTTGGACATTCGATATCACAGTAAAATTTTGTCACAACAAAGCCATTAGAATCAGTAGAATAGCTTCATTGTTTAACAAGTTTTTGATAAAAAATTAAAGAAACAGTGTGGATATTTGGCAGGGAACTAAATAATGAATTTGCTCTAAGCAATTATTTATGAAATTCTTCTTCACTGACGGATCATTCTTTTTGTAATATTCTATCACAGTACTGTACATCAAAATCAGCTTCCAATCAAGTCTGATGGACACTCAAAAAACAACCCTGTATGAATTGCTTCTATAGAAAATGCTGATGGATGAGTTGTGTTTTAATCCACTTCAAGTATGATGTCATAAAAAACAAAGATGTATTGAGCCTATGAATAAATTGTTCATTTGGGGATTTGTGCTGTATAGTTTGTGTGGAGATTACTTTCTGCTTGATACTTCTCTACAGTTGCACAGAGTTAGCCCATGATTTAGAGATACTGTGTTGGTTAGATTAACTTCATCCATTACAGTGGGAAGTTCAGCATCCAAAGAGTCCAATACCCAAATCATGTATGGATTCAGCTACTTCAAGAGCTATACAAGTTTATACAGTAAAGGCAAATTCTTTCTGTAACAAAATTCAAAAGACCAGAAAAAAATTCTTTATAGAGAGAACTTCATTGCAGATAACCCTTGGAATATGAGTGTAGAACTCAATGGGACCAAAAAATTGTTTGACAGAGAAAATTACTGTGAAGAGAGTTTATGCGCACAAAACGTGCTTGCAGATCTTCTTGTTTAAATGAGAAATTCTTGTTTGAATGGATGTTCAGCTTAAAATAACCTTGAAAATATTTAACAAAATCAGGAAACTTCTCATCCACTTCGGAGAACTACAGTATAAGCAATGTCAGCCACATTCATTCACGTCATTCATAGTTCATACACCCTTTCTTCAGAAAACAAGTCCATTATGCGAATCCTGGCACCACGGTACCAACGCCACGTCATTCATAGAATCTGCGGCGATGACGAATCTTATCCCAGGTCCTAACATATACCTGACGTACGTTTCCCCACGTGTTCCTACTTCTCCTCCGGATCTCGTTTCTTTTCATTTTTCTCATCAGAAGCAGCAAGGTTAAAAAGAAAACGAGTCCCACTCGTGATCCCTGGGTTGTATGAGAGCACAAAATGAGAAAGACACAGACTGAATACTGTACTTACTGACTGAGAGGAGTGAGAACCCGGTCTTCTGTCTGTCTCTCGTGCGAGTGCCCCTCCGGCGCATGCGTGAAGCTTCCAACTCAAGCTCCGGCTCCCATGTTCTCATCCCATCAAAAAACGCAGTGGTTCGCGTGAGTCCGCTTCTTTGCCCGGATTCCGTCTGCATCTCCTGTATACATACAGTAACGAGCAATACCAAGAAATAAGATAGGTGCATTCTTCCGTTCATGCAGCGAACGAAGATCGTTCGTGGCAGCTGTCGCGATCGGGATGTGCGATGTCGGATCAATTGTCAGTTCACGCGTGGTGTCGGCATGTAATAATGAGGTTTTTATCATTCTTTATTGCGTGGCTTGATGATCGTCGTTTAAATCTGTGACAGTTGGTGAAGTGACTCCATATGGTGTTCGGGACGTGTCAGAGAGAGGCTCTGTGGGATTTTTCTTACGTTTTTTCCTCTTACGGAGAGATGAAAACTGTCATGGGCGGCGTTGGGGTGAGGAAAGAGTGCAATCTGTCCGGCAGGTCAGATACACCCGGAACTCGTGGAAGCCGGTGGAGTTGATTTAACATACAGCTCACTTGTCATGTGTGGGGCTTCAGTTGTTGTTTGAATGTGTCAGTGATCGCTTTGTTTCACTTATTCTGGTTGGAAAATATTTCATTTATTTTTTTTTTGCGAGTGAGGGGTAAATAAACCGTTACGGAGAAGAGAATCAAATAAGATGTCTTATGTACCACTATGGTGCCATTTTTTTGGGATTATAATTGGTATTGCTGATTTCTTCCTAGTCACCTCAAGTACTGGTCTGAAGGGATTCTATATTCAGAAAATCACAATCACACTCTCAGAGTGCTAGGCAGTTTTGGGAATTTTTGGCTGTTCTGAGATCAGAGTTTAAAAAATTTGTCAACAGTGTATTGAATGTTGAATATCTATCCACTTTTAAGACCCCGTAGAAGAACTTCAAAGTGTAAAAGCCTGGGGTTTGTATTTTGTGTGATAAATTTTTCCTGAGAGATCTTATTACTCCAAGTGCAACTTTGTTTGACCTTACTGAAATTCTTCAAGTTGAATGCTTTAAGCTCAATTATTGCCATACACAGTAGCATTCATGAAGAATTACCATATACAGAGGATTGATATCACGTTTATGCTCAACATTCTGTTTTGGAATATTTAGTGCAGTATATGCTGCTGAAATATTAATCCAATTAGTCCTGAAATGGTCTGATTAATTTACTCAACTTCATTTTAGATCAGGATGGTTCAAAGCTCTTAGCAGGATCTGGAAATAACATTTCTGACTATCCAATATTCTTAGTCCGTCTTTCAGCAATCCACACTGCTGGGATGAAAGTAAAATGTTTGTGCAAATTTTGTTCATCTGCTAACTTCAGCCCTGAGCTTCTTTGCAACAAAATGAAATTGCTGACCACCTTCACACTTCCTCCAGACAAAAGCATTACTTGAAAGATTAAAAGAATTTCACCAAGAAAGTTTTGAACTTTTTGAATTACCTGTTTGAATTTTATGCAGTGTATATTTTTTCTTGGAATATGAAAAATGTTGCAGGTAATCTATTTCTTCTCTGTGTTTAACAATGGAAACACAAGGTCAGAAGCAGAACTTATGAGCAAACCCTTATGCATGATCCAGGAAACACTGTCTAAGGTTCTCAGAAGAGGAGGATATGTCTGGCATTTGATTGAAAAGCATCAAACAAAGATTACTGGCATACCATAAATATAAACCTTGAATTAGTCAACATTGAAAAAAAGTCCCCAACATCATATAGTGATTTATGGACTTGGATCATATCACCCCTTCTCTCTCATGGATCAAACCAGTGGCACATATGCTATGGGTTCCCTCATTCCAAATGGCCTCTGGGGAGTTATTTCTGGAGCAAGGCTGATGAGAGGGTGAAGGCTGAGCTCTTCTGAGGGGTTTCTGGTTTCCAGAAGGGTTTCTTTCATTTTTATTTTTTCTTTGTAGAGGTAATAATTTGTGTTTAATTATATGTGCTTCGCGGTGGATTTTTTGTGAACTTTTTGGATACAGGGGAAACCAAAATGCCATCAGTTCCCACAGGTAAGGGTGTCTCTTTTTTTGTGACTCAGTCTTTTGTGGGACTCCAAACATTTCATGTGTAAACATAGACTTGAGTTGATGAGGTTCAAATTTCTAGTACTTTTTTGTATTCAAACATCTTGTGTTGGGGGTTATATAGAAAGAAGTTTTCAGTTCATGTGATCTGGAGAGAAACTGTTTTTGTTTGAGTGATGAGCTGTTTTCTGGAAGCATTCCAGGAAAGTTTGGCAGCTTGCCAGGAATGGCAGGTGCTTGTGTGTACATCTTGCATTTGTTTCTGCCTTCTTTATTTCTTTTTTGTTGTTGATTTTTTTGCAGTTTCTGATCAAGCCTGGGTGACATTGGCGACGAATGACACCTATGCCCTTGGAGCCCTGGTATTGGCGCATTCCTTGTCCAGGGCCAGGACCAGCAGAGCACTAGTTGTTATGGTTGCTCCACAGGTGTCGCCTGGCATCAGGTGATTTCTGAAACTCCTCTGATTCATCCTTCCTAATTATTTCAGTACTTCAGAATTGGTTTCAGTTTTAATTTTCCATTGCTTGGAGCTGTTGATGCAATGGTTGAAAAACTGGAAAGCAATGGTCAATCACATTTTTATGATTATTTTGATGGAAAAAATTAAATCTCAATTTTGTTGATGCCTGGAAACTTCCTAAAGCTTCAGAATCTTTCTTCAGCTTCTCATATGCAAATATAGTTTGCTGATATGATGGATGGTGTTATGTAGTTCTCATGGAAGTGAAACTGAATTAGATGGACAATTTTAATTGCTTTTAGGTGTAAAAGTGTCATTGTTGCTCTTCAGCAGGTGTCCCGAATCAGGTTATTTCGGGAACTCCTGCTTCATCCTCTCTAATATTGCATCAGAATTGGCTTCAATCTTATATTTTCCGTTGGAATTGATTTATGCTATTTGGCAAATTTGAGAAGTACACTTGCGAGTAAAATTGGGATGAATTATTCTTTCATGATTATGAAAATCATGTACATATCTTTCTGAGTTCATGATCATTCCCAAGGTGTTCCTGGAATCAAGTGATTTGTGGAACCTCACCTTTCTTCATTATACTATACTGTATTAGCTGTACTTTAGAAATTTTCCCCTTTTGTCCAACTTTCTGTCATTCGCTAACTGAGGTGATTTTTATCTTCATAAGTTCAGGCCTATAAATTGTAATCTTGCTTTGGAATGCTTTGTCAGCTGTTGGGAACATACATTTATTGTGTCAAAATTAGGACTACACAAAAAAAAAAACACTTGGAACAAAATCATCAGGTCATTTAAATGGAGATAATTTGATTCTCTTTATTTAATTGAGTGAAAAGT